CGCTGGGGTCAGATCAATGGACGACACACACGGTTGTTAGAGCTCGCCTGGACTCTTCCCCTTCACCATCGATTCATGCATTCAACCAAAAAATTCTTTCTTGAATCGCTTGAATTGACCAAGCAATTGGAAGCCTTCAGCAGCAAAGGACGGCAGCGGTGCCGAGGTTGAGGATGATGAAGAATCTCGATACTCGTTAAAACCTAATCCTGCCGCAGATTATGAAGAATATGATGGTGGAAGCGGAGCGGTGTTGAGACAGTGAAACGAAGAGATCAAGAAGGAGATCTCGGTACGGCATTGTTGACATAGTGAAACGAGGGGATCAGTGAGAAGAGCTCATGGCCGCGTATGGAGGCGAGGAGCCGATGGCGGCTGAATTTGGGGGAAGTGAAACGAAGGGATCAGATTCGGGAAGGAAGAAGGGCATTTCTTTTTCTTTTATTTACTCTTTTAAGTGAGTTGAAAATAAATTAAATTTAGAATTAAGTTTCCATGTTAGATGCCGCGTAGACGCTGACTGGATTTTTTGTTAGTATTTAACGGTCAACTTTAACAGAAAAATAGTTCAGGATAGAAATGGAATATTGAAAAGAATAGGACACAAATGGCATTTTGTTGATAGTTCGGGTGTTGTAGTGGTATTAGCCCTTATACTAACTACTATGATGTGATTGTGGAGTATGAGGAGGAAGGTCAAAAATGGCGTTTTACTGGGTTCTATTGGAACCCGAATAGAAGTGAAAGACAACAGTCTTGGGATCAATTACGAAGCCTTAAAGGCACCTGTGACCTCTCCTGGCTATGTATGAAAGACTTTAACCAAGTTATTGGGGGGGGGGGGGGGGATGAGAAGGAAGGAGGTCGAAATATAAATGAAAATATGGTCTCAGGTTTTTGTGATGTGTTAGAATTCTGTAGACTTATGGATGATTGTGGCTTCGAGGGCTACCCTTTCACTTGGGACAATAGCCGAGGGGGGACCAGTTTTTTGAGGAAAGACTTGACAGATGCATAGCAAACTGGGAATGACAGCTGCTATTTCCAAACCATAGAGTTACACACCTCGACAGGTGTGGTTCGGATCACTGCCCCATCTTAATGAATACAAAGGATAAAGAAGAAGAGGATATCAAGTGGGGATGGCAGTTTAGAGTGGAATCCTACTGGCTTCAGGACCCTGAAAGCAGAGAAGTAATTTCCAAGGCCTGCAACTCTAATGAAGAAGGTAATATTCTGAACATTTTAGGAGAGTGCAAAACAGAGCTGCAGAGATGGAGTAGGGAGAAGTTTGGTAATCTACAAAAGAGGATTGAGAAGATTGAACAGGAGCTTGCAAGGATTAAATACTACCCCAAAACTGAACAACAAATCCATAGAAGAAGGGAGCTGGAAACGATGAGAACAGATGTTATTCACAAAGTTGAATTGAAGTGGAGGCAAAGATCCAGAGCGGATCGGCTCAAAGGTGGGGACAAAAACACCAATTTTTTCCACTCCAAAGCTACTTTGCGTAGGAAACGTAATACGATTAAAGAAATTACAGATGAATCTGGGAGAAAACACAAAGGTCAAAAAGAGGTTACTAATCACTTGGTTGATTACTACAGCAATATGTTTTCTGGGAGGCCTAATCCTAATTCAGAGAAGATGAAGTTAGTAAAGCTCTTAAGGAGATGGGGCCTACGAAAGCTCCTGGTTCGGATGGCTTTCCTGCTAGTTTCTACCAACAAAACTGGGATTCAATTGGAGGCCATGTCACATCTGCTATTCTAAAATTCTTGAATGATGGCTACCTCCCTCCAGAAATCAACCACACATGGATAGTTCTCATTCCCAAGGTGAAAACACCCACAATGGCTAAGGACTTTCGCTCTATTAGCCAATGTAGGATTATTTATAAAATTGCTTCTAAAATCCTGGCCAACAGACTCAAAGGGATCCTTAATGACCTAATCTCCGAAGAACAGAATGCTTTCATCAAGGGTCGGTTTATTACTGACAACATTATTACTACTTTTGAATTTTTTCAGTACTTGAAGAGGAAGACTAAAGGTAAAAGGGGATTCTTTGCTGCCAAGCTTGACATGCCCAAAGCGTATGACAGGGTCGAATGGATTTTCTGGAAAAGGTGCTAAGTAAGTTGGGTTTCAATGAATACTAGATCAATTTGATGATGATGTGTGTTAGGAGTGTTTCTTATTCAGTTCTCGTTAATGGCCATCGTTCTCAAGACATCAAGCCATCAAGAGGACTAAGGCAAGGCGACCCGCTCTCGCCCTACCTATTCCTCATCTGTGCTGAGGGTTTCTCTGCCCTGTTGAAGAAGGCTGAGAGGGAGGGGAAAATCCATGGAATCAAAATCTGCCACAGAGACCCCACCATCTCACATCTTCTATTTGCAGATGACAGCCTAGTGTTTGGCAGAGCTACTATTGAGGAAAGTGAAGAACTGAAGAGGATCCTTAAAATCTATGAGCAGGAGTCAGGGCAATGTATCAATTTGTCTAAGTCTGAAGTTTCTTTTAGCAGGAATGTGAAATGGAGCAGAAGATTGGAAGTCAGTGGTACACTGGGGATTAAAGTTGTTGAGAAACACCTGAAATATCTCGAACTGCCTATTGTCATTGGAAGATCTAAGAGGGAGGTATTTGATGACTTGAAAGAACGGGTGAGAAAGAAGCTTAAAGACTGGAAGAGCCTAACTCTGTCTGCTGCAGGTAACGAGATTTTGATTAAAGCAGTTGCTCAAGCACAACTTATCTATCCTATGATGGTGTTCAAAATTCTGGAAGGAGTTCTTCGGGAAATTCAAAGTCTGATAGCGAGGTTCTGGTGGGGGCAAAAATATGACGAGAAGAAGATTCACTGGATCAGGTGGGAAGAGTTGTGTCAACCGAAGGATTCTGGTGGTCTTGGTTTTAAGGACCTGAGAAGTGTTAATACTGCTATGCTTGGGAAGCAGATTTGGAACATTTTAAATCGGCCTAATTCCCTGATGGCCAGGATTCTCAAAGCTCGCTACTTTCCTAGAAATGACATTCTGCTGCTTCTATTGATTTGAAGAAAAACATGTTTACTTTTGCTGTTTTCGTTGATTTGAAGAGTTAAAAAAATCAAGATCTTGAAATCTTGTTCGTCCTCTGCTGCTTCTGTTCTTGGCAAAAAACAAGCAAATGTAAGTGGCGGCCGTCCTCGGCTATTCCTATTCTTGAGGTGAACTTGTCGATCCGGAATGGGGAATCTGCCGCCCAACCCTGGAGAATAAGCCACCGCCCGACCTTGAAGCTGAAGAAGCCACTTCTACTACCCCACAGGTAGGGCTGCAAATGAGCCAAGCCGCTCGCGAGCAACTCGGCGTTCGAATCGGAAAAAACTCGTTCGACACTCGACTCGTTATTTAACAAGCCGGCTCGCGAGCCAACTCGTTAGTTAACGAGCCAAGCCTGAGCTAGACCATGCTCAGCTTGATAAGCTCGCGAGCTAGCTTGATTCGGTGGCTTGTCGAGCTAAGCTCGCGAGCTGCCTTGTTTTGAGCTTGTGGAATGATGAATTACTCTTTTAAACATGAACATTGTCTTATAATACAGATGTGTATGAAATTTAGATGTTATTTCTAGTTTCTAGTGTTCTTTCTATCATTTAAATTCTTATGTTTATACATTTTTCCAGCAAAAATGATTTTAAATCGAGCTCATCTTGAGCCGAGCTTGTACTCAGCTTAACAAGCTATGTTAATGAGCATTTATCGAGCTCTACCGAGTCGAGCTCGAGCTAGATTATTTTTATTCAAGCCGAGCTCGAGCTCGAGCTGGATTATCAAAATTCGAGTTCGAGCCGAGCTCGAGCTGAAAAATTAATAAACGAGCCGAGCTCAAGCTAAGCAAAAACTCGACTCGACTCGGCTCGTTTGCAGCCCTACCCACAGGCCCCTGAAATGAAGTCGTCTCGATTTCCCCTGTCTCACCAATCACCATTGCAGCAAAGAGAGAAAAAGAAGGGGATTAGGAGTGGGATCTGAATTAGAAAGAAAAGGAAGGGGATTTCGAGTGGGATCTGGATTGGAAAGAAAAAGACGGGGATTTTAGGATCCTACCGCCGGTGAATTCGAGTTTGGCGGCGGAAGGATGATAAAGGTCTAAAGCAGCGACGGAATGATGAGAGAGAGCTGCAGAGGCGGCAAGTCTGAGATGATAGAGGGGAGGCCACAGGCGATGGGTCGTGAAATGGAGGAGAAGAAGAAGAAGAAAGGGCGCCGCTGGGAAAGAGAAAGGAAAAAAAAAGCTTTTAATGAAAACCTATAAAAAAAACCCGTGTGCAACAAATAGGAGAAACACATCCAAAGCAATCTTTTGTTGTTTCTTTAATTTTGGTCGGTTGTGTAAATTTGTTTCACAACAAAAATTAAAAACTCAACTAAACATATTTTTTTTCTTGGTTTCTACAATTTTAAAAAATACAACAGAAAACAGAAACAAGCAACAATACTAAACAGGGCCTTAGTTTTGCTTATCGTTGTTTTCTTTGGGGATTGTGGAGTTTAGGGTTTAGAGTTGATTTGGAATCACTGAGAAAAGCCCCACATTATTGTTGTTTTTCAGAATTACAATGCAGCTAAGGGATTGATTTTCTGAACGATTTCATATGAAAATCGTTGAATCTTAAATTTCTGGTTCGCGTCGGTGTTTGGTTCGATTTTGAAAATAATATTTTTGTGTATGTATATAGTCTTAATTGTGTGGCCTATGGGATATGGGCCATGGGGGGCTGGGATTGGGGAAGCGGTCTATTGGGCTTGGGTGGACAAGGTTTGAGACTAACAAAACAACCAACGACTGTACAGGATGGGCTAAAATTAATTTATCCTCGGTCAAAATTCAGATCCAATAATTTTGGATGTACTCTCTCATGATCTATTATCCAACTGAACGCAAATCTAGCCGTTCAAAGTTTACTGAACCATTACTAATCAGAAAACAGATTGAAGATTAAAAGAATTGTCCATGTTACTCCATTTCTTCACTGTCCAGTCTCATTACTCATTTACCTTAAACCCTAAAGCTGAATGCAAAAAAGACCACAGAAAACAACGAGAACCACGACCAGCTACCGTCTGACAGACCTCCATAAATAAATAAATAAATAAATATTAACACAAACACCAATCAACAAACATTTAGCATGCATCCCCAGAAAACTGCGCCCCTCCTTTCCTTTCATACGCCTTCACGTTCAACAACTCAATCTTTCCCGCGCCTAATTCTCCTCCGCCACCGTCTCCGCTCTCCACCTCCACCTCTCTCCCCCCTCCACCGCCGCCGCCGTCGTTCTCCGTAACGTACCGACTCGCAACGAAATGGAAGTAAACAAAATTCAGAACCCCCAACCCAGCAAGACTATAGTAGTAATAATCCAGCCTGTTCTTATTCAAATCATGCCCACCGAGCCACGGCGTCCGCCCGCCGCCGGCCGTCGCCTTGCGAACGATATTAATCATCGCCGAATTCACATAATTCGACGCCGACAGGCACAGGAAGAAGAACGCCCCGGCCAATGTCCTCATATTCTCCGGCATCCTGGTTGTGAAAAACTCCATCACCGCAACAGCAGCAAACGCCTCCGTGATCCCCAGCAGCACGAATTGCGGCATCAAGATCGCGAAGCTCTCCGGCGACACGAATTCCCCAATCTTCACCGCCGAATCCCTCCTCTTCCTCTCCACATTCGCCGCCACCACCATCGCCGCGATCGACATGGCGATCCCAACTCGAATCCGCTTCGCGATCGTCAGTCTCTGGCTCTCCCCTGTTATTCTACTCGCCAGAGGCATAAGCAGTTTCTCGTAAGTTAAAATCCACGTCGCCAGAGTCACCATCGATGTTAGCCCCATCCATCCCGGTGGAACCCGGAAGGTTTTTCCGATGGACCGGTCGATTTGAATCGCTTGCAGGACTCCGAACGCCGACTGCTGCTCCATCGGCATGAAGCAGAGGATTCCCGACACCCATACTGGAAACGTCGCCGCCAATCGCTTCAATCCTTCCACCTGCTGCACAGTGCACAATCTCCATGGATTCTTCGCCTTCCCCTGTTCGTCGATTTCGGAGGGATCGAAGATTATCGCCGCCTTGTCCAGGCATTTCATTCTTGTCGTTCGTAACAGCTTGGAATTGTTGGAAGAAACAGAGTATTCCCCTGTTTTTTCCTCTGTTTCTTCCCCTGTTTTTTTCCCTGTTTCTTCGTCGTTGTTGTTTACGGGTGGGTCATGGAATTGGATATGGGAGTCTGGTCGGGTGTCGATCTTCCGTTTCTTGAACGCGGCGGTGACGACACGGACCATGTCGGAGAAGGGGCTGCCCTGAGGGGACTTGAGGATGTAGGTTTTGTGGCCGATGAGGAAGAGGGAGATGGAGAGGATGAGGCAGGCGGTGGGGATGGCGAAACCGACGACCCAGCTGACTTCGGTCTGGATGTAGACGACGGCGGTAAGCGCGACGGCGAGGGAGACGGAGAAGCAGAAGTACCACCAGTTGAAGAAGCATTCCAGTTGGGACCTTCCTTTGGGCGTCCTGGTGTCGAATTGATCGGCCCCGAATGCGATGTTGCAAGGTCTGATCCCGCCGGCGCCGACGGCGAGGAGGGTCAGCGCTGCGAAGAGGACGCACAGCTGCCATCCTTCGGCTTCCTGGCAGTCCGGGGAGGATTTCGTGCACGGCGGCGGCCGGAGTGGGGGGACGGCGGCGATTAGTGTCATTACCCCCATGCCCTGTAATCAAATTTAGCGGGATTATGATAAAAATTCAAATCAATGATTAGAAATGTGTAAGATTACGTATTGATATTCGTTTAAATTTGTTAACGAACAAATTATTTAGTCGCAAAATTACGAATGTTCATATAACTCATGATAAAAATAATAATACTAATCGAATGCATGAGGAACTACCTATTAGAGTAGTCGAACTCTAATCCTATAGTCTCTATAAAAATTATAAAATTAGTATTGAAATCGCGCATCATGCCATTTTTTACTGTGTTAAAATCGTCTATCGATTTAGACTCCAATAAAAAGATTTCTCAATCGATAATATCAATACAATACAATTTCACAAACTCGCTTTCAATTTAGTTTACATGTTGTAATTGATAGATTCAGAGAGCAATAGCAAGTGTTCTAATTATTACTTGATGGAAATTAATTATGATATAAATAAATTACCAGAAAAGAGGAAATACTGCCGTAGAGAAGGGTGCGGAATTTGCCGAAATAGGCATCGGCGAGGAAAGCGCCGGCCAGGGAAGCGACGTTGGAGGAGCCGGCCCAAACGGTGGTGACGGTGACGTTGAACACCGCTCCCATGTTGTACTGGCTCTGCAGGTACAGCGTCATGTTCGCGATCAAGCTCATCGACGCCAACTTCTCGAACGACTCATTTCCTGCAGTCACATGTCGTCATCGTAACATAATGATATCCTTTAAAATATTGGTATTTTGAGCTACAAATTGAAATTGTACCATAAGGTTAAACCTATAAATTTAGGTTGTACCAAAAGCGAATTTGTATCATCCATGCAGACAGAATCACGATGTCTAGATCAGGAACAAAGCAACGTAAAGGAGTGAAAAGGAAAGAAAGAAGGTGGAAGACCTAAGAGGAACTTAATGGCTGTCCAGCCTCCTTTCTTCTTGAGGGGAGATGACGCCGGCGGCGGCGGCAAGGAGGAGGCAGGTGAAGGAGGTGGCGGCGGAGATGAAGAAGAACGATCTGCCGGCGGCGGCGCCATATCTGGAAGGAATATTTTGTACTACGTACTTACTGCTAGTTTGGCATAGAGAAAAACAGAGTGGAGATGGAGAGGTGGAAAGTAAATAAGAGAGGAATTGTAGTTTTTTCTTTCCCGTTGAATGAGAGAATCAGTTGAGATTTTCTTCAACTACTGTTACGAAATTTCTTGAAACACCTTTGACGAAGGCTTGTTAACGTTATTTGTTTAGTTTACTTTAACAATTTCTATCTCTCTTTCCCATGAAAAACTCGTATTGTTGTTTTTGGTAGGTTGAAATTCGGAATGAAGTTGGATAGTACCGGCGGCTGGCTAATTGTATTCTCATACCGTACTTATGGATTAATTGTACACTAGCACGAAAGCGGGGCGTGAATCTAGTATAATTTGAGATCGTAATAAATAGTTCAAGCGGAGTGACATTACCGATTTATCACATAATAGTTTTAACAGAATTTGGATCGTATTCTATCCAACCGTCAATTATAAAAGCAGGTAAAGCTCGCTCCACACCAAAACTCGTCGGCATCGGGTTCAATTCGATTTGACTTGGTCTAACGAGGTTTAATAACCATGAATTTCGGTTCAATTGTCATAAAGAAAATGCAATGAAATTTTAACTTTTACTAAATTTTTAATTAAGCGAACTGAGTTTTTAACAAAATCCAAAACCGAAATTTCTAGCTATTTGAATCTAAGGAATAGTGCCCTTCCAAACCCATATTTTATAAGAGTGTCAGACTTGCACTCGAACCAAAATTTGTCAACATTGAATTTAGCCCGCTTTGACCACGTTGATTGTTGTCTTTTATATGTTCGGGTCGGATGGAAACCGAATCAAGTTTTTTAAATAATTCGTACCTGACCCAACTAGGTAACAAAGCGGGTGAAACGGGCTCATGACTCAAATCTCGTCAATGCCACTAAAATTTGGATAAAGTGAGGTGAGTTCTAAATAAAATTCACTTTTTTATGTGCGGATCGGATGGAAAGCAAATTGAGTTTTTAACCAAATCTACACCTAGCTCAACCCATCAATCCCAAAGCGAGTTAAACTCGCTCCCAACCCAAAATTCGTCAACAACTTATTCAACTAGTTTTACTGGGTCGAATTAGGTTGAATACCTATGGATTTGGAATTTTGGACTCAACTATCATAAAAGGAAAAAATGTAGGTTTAAATGACACTTAAATTTTTATTAACTAAAATATCAACCCAAAGCTCGTTAACACCATCAAAACTTTGATAAAGCGGGGCGATATATATTTATAAAATTCACACCCGACCCAACATGTCAATTACAAAAGCGGGTAAAACTCATTTCTGACTCTAAATTCCTCGGCATCGGGTTTAACTTGCTTTGAACGGGTTGAGTTACCAACATTTTGAGTTTTTAAAAAAATCTATACCCGAAATTCCTAGCGATTTGAATCTAATGAATAGTCCCCTTCAAAACCCATATTTTGTAAGCGAGTAAAACTCATTCCCGAACTAAAACTGCTCAACACCAGATTCATCCTTATTGTATTTAAGTGTTAATTGGGGTTTCAATCCGATTTAGCTGGTTGGTTCGGTCGAACAAGTGCGTTCAGGGTTAATGGTTTGATCGCTTTGGTCAGGTTTAGCTCCAACATATGAAAATAGTCATTATATTGTTCATACATTTATAAACTATATAAAATCTCATATAAAATATAACATTACACCAAAATAACAGCTCGCACTTGTATCCAAACATATAATGAAAATTTTAACACACTTATGTAACATCAATATTCAAATGCTCAACTTAGAATTCCAAAGATGGGATTAATCGAAGATGAAAACCAGAATAAGAGACACATTTCAAAAATCGGACGGAGAAACGATGTCGTCTGACTTCCAACCCAAAAAACCTTACAACGAGTCGATCGAAGCGCAAGCGTGTGGCACTTATCTTTCTCACCGAATCAGAATCGGGCACTATTATATATTGTGTAGATGGGTTTTTAGGGGTCGTTTGGAGAAGAGGATTCTAACTTTAGATTTAGTAGAAAATTATGTGGGAACAACTTACTTTGGAGAGAAAGAAAAAAAAACGTGATTTCTCCCTCCTCTATCCCCACGTTGGGCGAGTGGTTAGGGCTTTCGCCTTCGTGCGATGATGGCGATGACGGTTCCCGTCTTCGTGCCCCGCCGTTTCCGTCCATTCCACGGCGACGTCAGGATAAAAGGGGTCCCCTTCTCCCTCCGATGTATCTCTAGCGATTTGCTCTCTGTCAGTCCTCCTCCCCTTTTGATTTCCGATTTAGAGTTCGTACCTCCCTTTGTGATTCCATGACTGCCGTTCAGTTTAATGATGCAGATGTGGCTGTCGGTGCTCAGCGTCTTGATCAGGCCCTGATTGGCCGGCTCTGTGGCCCGCTCCCATCCCTTTCAACGCTGCGATCGATTGTTGGGCGAGTATGGAAATGCGATTTCTCGTTGGCGATTGTGGAATGAGATCTCCTCCAATTCGTGCTTCCTAATCCAGCAACGGCTCAAAGGATTCGGGCTGGGTCGCCATGGGTGTTTGAGAAGTTTTTTATTCAAGTCTGACAGTGGGAAACTCCAACTGCAGAGCTGGCGGTGGAGCTCATCCGCGTGCCCCTGGTGGCGCAACTTTGGGGAGTTCCCTACAACTGTTGTACCGAGCGGCTCGATACCTTGCTTGGGGCGGCCCTTGGCCCGTCGGAGACAGCCACAATCCACCGGTCGGTCTCTTCCGGCGGACTGTACATCCGGACTAAGGTCACTCTGGATCTGCAACTTCCCCTGCCAGACGAGGTCTCTGCTGCCCATGAGGATCCCTCGAAGGGGCATTTCAAAGCTAAGGTGAAATTCGAGTCTCTTCCGCAATTTTGCTTCCTCTGTGGAGTGGTTGGCCATGTGAACAGATTTTGCCCTCGAAGGGAGGAACTGTCGGGTCAGGCTCTACGATATGGCAAGGAGTTGGTGGCTCGGGAGTTCGGTCCACGGGTGAACGAGGGTACTTTGGCTCGTCGGCGCAAGAGGTTTGTGTGGACACTGGCGGGGAATCACCCAGGTGCTCAAGGGGCGGGTCAAATTCGGTCCAGGAAGCCTATTCTGGGGGCTGATCAAGGTGCAAATCTGCAGCCACCTTCAGTCCAGTTTGGCATGACTTCACAGTTGGGGCAACTCTGCATCTCGGCTGCTCCAAATTCCCTGCCTGACTCCTCTTTGGGGCTTGCTCATCAGACTGCTGCAGTAATGATAGACCCGACTGAACCGATGGCCAAGAAGCCGCGTCTGGTGGCTGTTGTCCAGGAGAATGATCAGTTGCTCGCTGAGGTGGAGAAAACCGGCCCTAACCGGTCCCAGCCTCATCCATGACCATCCTAGCATGGAATTGCAGGGGATTCGGGGCTCCCCTGACAATTCCAGCTCTCAAGGAGGCCCTTTTTAAGGAATCTCCTCTTCTGTTGTGTCTGAGTGAAATTAGAAATGATGATGAATTCGTGATCCAATAGCTTGCCTCTCTCGGGTATCCGGAGGAACGTGTACATAGTGCGTCTAGTAATGGTAGTGGTCTAGCGGTTGCTTGGTCGTCTGGTCTTCTTGTGTCTATATCAGTAGAAGCTTCTGGTTTTATGTTCTTAGAGTGTGAGCACCCGTCTTTTGGGCGATTTGGTGTGGTTTTCGTACATTTGAATTGTGATGTAGCCCTTCGTCAGTTCCAATTAAATGAAATTTCTTTTCTTGTCTGTATGTATGAGGACCCAGTGTTGGTTGTGGGGGATTTTAACTGTCTGCTTGCTAGCAATGAGAAACAGGGGGGGGGGGGGGGGGGGGGGGGGGGGGGGGGGGGGCTCTAACCCCTGCTGCACTTGTTCAGCTTAACCAATTTCTGGATGCAGGGGGACTCCAGGATTTGGGGTTCATTGGGCCGCCATTTACGTGGTCAAATAGGCAAGCCAATGGTGATCATATCCAATCTCGTCTTGACAGATGTTTGGGCAATAATATTGTGCTTTCCTTGTGGCCAGAAATCCAGGGACAGGGGGTCGGATCACCGAATGTTGCTGGTTAAGTTTGTGCGCTCTGATTCAAGGCACACTCGGCGGTTTCAGTATGATCGGCGTTGGAGTTCCAATGCAGATGTTCCTGATTTGGTGCATTCGGCTTGGCATCTTCCTGCTGCCGGCACACCCCTTTTCAAGGTCCAGTCCAAGTTGAAGCAGACTCGTCACCAACTTCTGAGTTGGGCCAAGATGGGTACAAGTAACTCTGGCCGACAAATTCGGGAGATCAAAGAATCCATTGACAGTGCCAGGGAAGCTATGTCTGTTGATTGGGTGCTTATTAATCAATTGGAGAGCCGGCTTGGCGAGGCCTACCGTCAGGAAGAACCACTATTGGGCGCAAAAATCTCGAACTAATTGGCTACATGGTGGTGATACAAATACCCACTTTTTCCATCTAGCAACGATGCAACGACGAAGGTCCAACTTCATTCCCCACCTGCAAGATGAGCATGGTGATTTGCATTCGGCGGAGCCAGTTAAAGGGGGTATTTCAGTTGCCTATTTTGAGAGTTTATTCAGTTCTAATGGTGTAGACCCTTGTGCTTTTGTTCATAGTTTGAATCTGCCCATCAAAATATCAGCATCTATGAATGAAATGCTTACTATGCAGGTTTCACGTGGTGAAATTAGACAAGCTGTTTTTGTTATTGGGCAAGGGCAATCCCCCGGATCTGAAGGTTTTACGGCGGGTTTCTACCAAAGATTTTGGGACGAGATAGGGGTGGCTGTCTCTGATGCCATTCTATCCTTCTTTCAGTCAAGCCGGTTGTTGCATAGTGTCAACCACACCTTGCTTACTCTCATTCCCAAGGTTTCAAACGCTGAATCCATGAGGCAAATGCGGTCGATTGGTCTTTGCCAGGTTCTGTACAAAATCATAGCCAAAATCTTGTCTTCCAGGCTAAGTGCAATTCTTCCTCAGATTATTAGCCCTTTTCAAAATGGATTTGTAAAAGGTCGATGTATTTCTGATAATATTCTTATAGGCCAAGAAGTGATGCAGTTTCTCAAAACCAAGATCCGTGGACAGGACAAATGGATGGCACTCAAGATTGATATGGAGAAAGCTTACGATCGAGTGGAGTGGGATTTCCTTTTTCAAGTGATGGTGGCCTTAGGGTTCTGTGAGAAGTGGATGATTTGGATCAAATCCTGTGTCACAACTGTTCATTTCTCAATACTTCTTAACGATGCGCAGTATGGATATTTTCAGCCTCATCGAGGTATACGGCAAGGCGACCCGTTGTCCCCATTATTGTTTGCTATCTACACTGAAGCTTTTGCTGCGAAAATCTCCCAAGAGGTAGCTTCTTCTGCCCTCCATGACTTAAGAATTCACAGGTCAGCTCCTTCCTTGTCTCATTTGATTTTCGCCGACAATTCCTACCTCTTCCTTAGAGCTTCTATTCCCGAATCTGCTAACCTGCTTCAGCTCCTTTCAGACTATGAATTAGTTAGTGGATAGCGAGTTAATTTACACAAATCAGCTGTTTGTGTTAGTGGTAATGTATCTGAGCAGGAACTTCAAGCAATTAGCTCCTTCCTAGGGGTTAGTATTTTTCAAGCGGAAGACAAATACCTAGGGCTGCCCTCCCAAATCGGTCGCTCTAAGTCCACCTTTCAATTCATTGAGGAGGCCTTGGCTGCCCGGATTAGAACTTGGAAGACTAAATCTTTGTCTTTGGCGGGAAAAGAAGTGGTAATTAAGGCTATTGGAGCTGCTGGCCCTATTTATGCGATGTCGGCGTTTCGATTGCCTCAGGAAACATGTCGTCGATGCAATGGACAATTATCAAAGTATTGGTGGGCGGGACAGGATAAGGAAAGAGGAATTCATTGGATTTCGTGGAGAGCCCTTTTCCAGAGCAAATTTTATGGAGGACTTGGATTCCGTGATTTCAACTTATTTAACATAGCTCTTCTGGCTAAGCAGGCTTGGCGGATTCTTCTCAATCCCACCAGTCATCTTGCTCGGATCTACAAAGCTCGTTACCACCCTCATCTTGACTTCCTCGATCCAACAGCCGGCTCTCGCCCTTCCTGGGCTTGGCAAGGAATCTTGGAGGGCAAAAATTTCCTCAAGAGGGGTCTCTGGTGGCAGGTGGGCAATGGTTGCCGGATTCGGGTGCTTCATGATGTTTGGCTGCCTTCAACTCCCCCTTCGTGTCCCACTTTGAAACCAGGTTTGAATTCCTGCCCTGCCTATGTATCTGATCTTATTTGCCATAGCTCATTCTTATGGAAGAAAGATCTTTTGGTAGAGCTGTTTACTCCAGACTATGTGGATCTTATTATGTCTATTCCCCTCCCCACTTCTCCGATGGATGACAAATTGATTTGGCATTACTCACCCTCTGGTTTGTTTACAGTTAAGACAGGTTACCATTTATTGTCCACTGAACAAAACCTTCTTCACCCGCCGGTTATTCTTCCTTTTGACATCCGATTTTGGAAATTGCTTTGGAGCCTACCATTACCTCCGAAACTGAAATTCTTCTTCTGGCGGGTTGTTCGCGGTTTCCTCCTTCTTCAATCTGTGCTCTTCTCTAAGACCTTGGTCTCTGATCCGATCTGCCCGATCTGTGACGCGGAATCGGAATCCTTCTCCCATTTCTTTTTTGGTTGCAGGGTGGCTAGGGGCTTATGGCTACTGGCGGATCGCGAAGGAATTCGTTCTTCTCTCGGTGGAATGGCCCCGGCTGAGGCTTGGAAGCACCTGTTTTTCGGTTTGAACCTAGGCAAACCTGAGATTGCGGAGGTGGTGTTTCTCTTATGGAGAATTTGGAAAGCTAGGTGCTGGTCAATCCATACGTTTACCCAGTACCTACCACCAGCGCTGTTTCGGCAATTTCAACGCCAAGTGAATGAATGGAGGGAAGCGGAGCAGTCTCGACCAAGTTTACATGGCAGAGGACCTGGACCAGTTTCTGCCCCGACTTCTGGTAGGAGTGGGAACAGTGCTCCGACAGGCCTCAGTCCTCATCCTGACACCATTAATGTGTGGTTTGACGGGGCGGCTAAACGTAATCAAGGTGGTAGTGTTGGATTTGTGGGTTTCCAAGCATCAGGTACGATCCTCTTTGCTTTTGGCAAGTCTTATGATGGTCTATGTGATCCTTTTATCATGGAATGCTTAGCTCTCAGAGATGCTTTAAAATGGTGCTTAACACATGGTTTTGTTTGTGTTAAATTCCATGGGGATTCACAACAATTGATCCAACGTATGGTGCGATGTGATTTGGCGCATGATCGGAGTGGTGCTGTGCTGGAAGATGCAAGGGCGTTGGCATCTCAGTTCACCTGGCGTTCTTTTTGTTTTGTCTCTCATCGACTTAATAGGGCTGCCCATCTTGTGGCACAACAGGCCCTTTCATCGGGAGTTCGACGATTGGTCGACTCCCGCGCTCTTCTTTTTTCTTTGTATGACTGATTGTTACCGCTATTTTGAAAAGAAAAAAAAAATCAGAATCAACCCATATCATTCCGTGAGTTGACAACCTTAGGTGTCAACTATGTGCGCGATACTCATCCAAAGATGCGATATCACAAACGACACAAGTGGTCAGAAGTTCATCAATTCAAGACTTATCGAAGGCAACTCTCAGCATGCATATTCTCATGATTGTGAACCAATAAACACTCCCACACCAAATGCTGTATTTTGTCTTTCACCATTAACGCATACCTACTTTCAGACTTTGTTTGTGGCAGGTTGCTGTTGTACTTTTACATATATGACGCCTTTCTTCGCCGGTTTCCCTACTTCCAGCAACAACTTCTCTCAAATAGTCAAATCACACAAATTAATTTATTCATTGCAGGCCGATCAATAGCGATGGAGCTAAGTCCAGCCCATGACAAAATTACAAAGCAATCTTCCAGCGAATTCTATAGAAATAATATAAAAGCTTTAACTTATATCAAGATATGAGGCCTCGCATATTCCAAAGAATACTCCGTCGTCGAATTCGTCAGCGCTTCCATCATCGACAGTAAAAATATATGCTTTCCTTCAAAACACAAATATGCTAAAGAGGGAACACAACAGAGAATAGAAATGTTGCTTTCTGATACTATAAATAGGGCGCAAGATCATAGTGAGAGAGAAATCTATAGCAGAAGCTAATTAATATAAGGGCTAGTGGTAATAATAATAAATCTTTTGTGGTTATATTTATCTGTTGTCTAGAAATTTCCGACATATATGGAGGTGACGGTGGCGATGGCGGTGGGTGTGATGGTCGGATTGCTGCCGGTGGTGGGGCTGCTGGCGTGGTGGTGGAACGAGGTGTGGTATGCTTTGCCGGAGAAGTTCAAACTGTCCGGCACCGGAATCAGGCTTCCGTCCGGCCACATGGGTTTTCCTTTCTTGGGGGAGATGCTTACATTTCTTTGGTACTTCAAGGTCGTCAAACGTCCCGATGACTTCATCAACTCCAAAAGACGCAAGTAAGAAAAATATTATGGCAATATATAGAGATTAATCTTTGAAATTCATTGACTAGATAGTTGAACTGGAAATCTAAATAAATGTTGTTTATCAACTACATGCTATATATTTTGCAGTAATTTATTGGCAAAAAAAAAAAATATGTTGAAGAATTATACCATGCTCATAAGTAGCGGTGTTTTCCAAGTTGATTTTGTACCATAATTTCAATTTGTACTACAAAGGAATTTGTACGAAAAATTATATATGTACAAATTAAATTCGTGACATAAGGTTGACGTACATGTTTAATTTGTATAACAAAATAATTTATACGTTAATCTCTAGGTACAAACAGAAATTGTACCATAACGTCAAAGATAAAAATTCAGTTGGTATCATAAAAGGTCCATTTTTAAACAATGGTTAGTATCTTTTTATGGCCCGAACTTTACTCATATGTAACATCATCATGATCAATTTTCTTACTAATTGACATCGTGGTGCCAAAATTTACTCATCTAGCCTAAGGTGAGTTTTGACCCTTATGTTTTACGGTCAAAATTGTTGACTAACGGTCAACCCACCATTTCACTTCCTAGTCACAATTAACCTAATTAAAAATTCTTAATTTAAACAAATATAACGTTTTATCCTAAAATAAATTTTACTTCGTTTATTTGAAGTTCAAACTTTTTCACATAAATATCATATTAATTTTATTATTCAATAACATTCATTGATATATTTTGGAAAAGAAAAGTCGAGTGAAACCTTACAACTCTATACCAAGGAAGTAAAGCTTGACAGTACAAAAGATTATATCATGGATGGTGGTACTGAAAGTGTTAAGTGTACATAGTGGTAAAATATAGCATACAATGATAGTATACATGATAGCATATATAATAAAATATTGTACAAATACGTTACGTTTAAAATCGGTACCTATATTTTACACTGTCTCTATAATATGTCTAATAACACGTCAATTTCCTCATGCATTTGAAATTAATTATTTAAAAATACATAAATATGTAAATAATGTTCATAAATATGTAAATAATGTTCATATCCAAAACCCATGTGAGGATGGAGTGTTTAGCTTGCAAGGTACCTAATATGCCTTTTGGGACCAGGTATGGCGACGGAGGTGGTTTGTTCAGAAGCCACCTGTTCGGCCGGCCGACGATCATAGCGTTTGCGCCGGCGGTGAGCAAGTTCGTGTACCAGAAAAACGACGAGTTTATCCTCGAGTGGCCCAGTGTGGAACTTGTTGGCCCAACTTCCCTCGTGGCAGTAAATGGGCCAAGCCACACCAGGCTCCGAAGTTTCGTCACCAATGCCATCAACCGGCCCGATGCTCTCCGACGGATCGCATCCCTCGTCCAGCCCAATATTGTTGCTGCCTTGCAATCCTGGGCTCAGACTGGCAGAGTCAACGCCTACAAACAAGTCAAGAAGGTAACATGAATTTCGTATATTAAGCCTTCACTTTATGATATATAATTTTTTCATTTAGTAAATGGTATATGATTCATAATTGAACATCCACCAACTACTCAAGTTATTAGGATCAACTGTTCTTGATATGATATCAGATTCTTTTGTGACCGATGAGTCATTTTGTTCTAAACTCGATGTCCCCCTAATTTGTTCTGTTAAGCACATGGTATTCACACCGTGCAAACTTCTACCTCTCATATGAGTCGACTTTCGTTTGAGAGAGTGATTTTTTTACATATATTAACCTTGTGTTCTGTAATTATTTTTTACTAACAAAGGAAAAATAATTCATTCTCTTCGAATTCTTAGGTGACATTTGAGAACATAGGAATGTTGTTCGCAAGTTTGGAGGCAGGAGCAGAATTAGCCTCCGTCGACGAACTATTCCGGGGTATAGTGAAAGGGGTTCGAGCTCAACCTCTGAACGTGCCTGGAACTGCATATCACCACGCCCTTCAGGTAGCATCTCTATTATATGAACCGCTAGCTCTTCCAGGTTAGGATTTTCTCACGGTGAGATCCACACACAAAAAAAACCTATATACATTGTTCAATATTGGTCGCAGTGCAGAAAGAAGGTGACAGATGTATTCAAGAAAGAGCTTGAGAAAAGGAAGACGATGGAGCTAGATGGGTTGGGCTCCAAGACAGACGACCTAATGGACGGATTGAGGCAAATCCAGGATGAGCAAGGAAATAGATTGAGTGAGCAAGAAGTGTTGGACAACATTGTGAGCCTTGTGGTTGCTGGTTACGAGTCTACCTCCCTTTCGATTATGTGGTCTACTTATTACCTTGCCAAGTATCCTGACGTACTAAGAAAACTAAGGGTAAGTTAAGCATAACCTCGGGACTGTTTACTTTCATTTATGTTTCCTATTTTTGAGAAAACAGATGTTGAAAACAGGTGAAAACAACATTTTGTCGTTTCCGAAAACAGCAGGAAGTTGCCACTTTCTGTTTTCATAGTTGGAAACGAATAGAAAACAGAATGAAAAGTAAACAAGTTTTCTCGTTTCGGTTGCCAAATTTATGACACGAAAACAGAAAACAGGAAACGAAAATAAAAGTGAACAGGGTAAGTTCAAACTTTGGACAAACATCGTTTTGAAAGACGACGCATATGTTTTGAAATCTCTATCTCACTTGCTTATTGGTTTGGTATTTGTACGCTTATAGGAGGAGAATATGGCCTTGCGCAAGAACAAGGCTGCTGGAGAGTTCATCACAAGCGATGATATCTCTCAGCTCAAGTACACAAAGAAGGTTAATTTCTTGGTTTAACTTTAATCCCTTTGCATTATCATAAACTTTCCCAGACTAACAGTAGATGTTTGTAATTGACATCAGGTGGTGGAAGAAACCATACGGATGGCCAACATTGCAGCTATTGTTTTTAGATTGGCAACCAAAGACGTGGAGTACAAAGGTATAAAATAAGGTCTAAGAATTGTAACTAAGGAAGTTTTTGTTTTGTTATTTTTTCGTTCATTTTTATAATTACCCTTGAATATGTTTTTGAAAATGTTCAGGTTACAGAATTCCCAAAAATTGGAAAGTCGCGATTTGGAGCCGATATGCGCATACAAATCCCGAAAATTTTCAGGATCCCATGTGCTTCAACCCAGATCGATGGGATGTAAGCAACTCATATACTATAACTCTTATTTTGAATAGAATAAACATATAGTTATTTCTAAACGAAATTCTGATTACGCCCCTGTTTCTAGTAACTAATAAAAATGTTTTCACTTTCTTTCATTTAATCAGGTAGCACCGGCCCCTGGAGCATACCAAGTGTTTGGCGGTGGGTCGAGAATCTGCGCTGGAAATATGTTGGCCAGGATACAAGTTGCCGTCTTTCTGCATCACCTCTCCACTGGATACAAGTAATTATTAGTGCAACTGAGATGGTGTTTTGGTTCATGATTAGGGATGGCAATGGGTCGGGTCGGGGACGGATAGTGCATATCCGTTATCCTATCCAATGTAGTTTGGGTTTTACCCATACGAGAAACGGGTAGAAAATCAAAACCATGTCCATACCCGTTCGGGTTTCGGATATCCATGGTTATCTATAGGTAATAATTTCTCCTTATAATTCCAACCAATATGTTAACATTCACACGTATACTCACATGACATAAGAGAAAAAGTACGACAATAATTCACTAGAATGACGAAAATTAATTAAAACAACATAATTTCATGAAAATATTATATTTATATACTAAATATAAAATATTCTAGAGAAAATAATGATTATTTCTAGACAAAATACATATGCATGTGTATAATCGGGTGAGTTCGGGTTGGATAGTGAGATAACCATGCCCACCCGTTACCCGCAACATTCGGGTTCGGGTTTTACCCGTACCCACGAAAAATATTTCGGATTCGGGTTTTACCCTACCCAATTAGATCGGATTCGGGTGGATATCCACGGTTACGGATATTTTTGCCATCCTATTCATCATCATCATATAATAATTTGTGGTGACAATTAATTAATGTGTATGCTTGCAGGTGGGAATTGCTGAATCCCGATGCTCCTATGATTTACCTATCACATCCGATTCCGACCGACGGCGTCGAGATTTCCATCGCCGCACTTTAATTTGACCTCCGCCTTTAAATTCTTCCGTCCTCGCCCGACGAGCAAAGTTATCTAGCGAGTTTCTTCGAAATAATTCTATGTAGTCGATGGCTCTTTTATGTTCGGAAAATGTGGTCGTTCAAACTAAGTGATTAATTCTACGCCAACCATTAGTATGAGTATGGCTTTGATGAAATAAAATCTTCTTTATATATGCTTTTTTTTTTATACTGGTGATGATTATATTAAAATTGAGAAAGACAAGAGTTCCAAAGCAAACCCAGGTCAAGAGGCTTGATCACAGGGAAGAAAAGGTCACAAACAGACCAAAACAAAAAAAAAAAAAAAAAAAAAAAACAAGAAGCCATCTGGGTGTTAGATGGATCAGGCCATCGCCATCCCTACTCCAAAACCTCCAAGTAATGGCTCGAGCTCCAGTTCTCCATCTTCTGACAATTTTCCTATAACCATAAAACATGATATAAAAAATATCTTGTTAGTCGTAACGTAAGTAGTACGTAACTCATACTTAGAGGTCGTTTGCTTCAAGGATTTTATAACGAGGGTTTTGTCATGAATTTGCTAATTAAAAATCTTGGGATTTATTAGGGATTTTTGACATTATGGATTTGAGGAAATCCTTTGTTTGTTGAGCTATTTTTATCATGGATTTGATTATTTTCAGCTTGTTTCCAAATCCCAGGGTATGAGGTGGGATTTATAAAACCGTGGGATCCATGGATTTGGAGAAAAAAACCCACATCCGTGGGGCCCACAGATTTATCTAAACATTTTTTTGACAAAGCAAACAACGGATTGTGTGTAAATCCATGATGTTTGATTTTTTGGTACCAAATCCATGATGCAAATCCTTGAAGCAAACGGTAAAATTTTAGGTTGTTTGGATAAAGAATTCTAATGGATCAATTTGACTCAATTGTCTTTTTTTAGATAATTGGGCCAAAACTGATCCGTTTGGCAGCATAAAATTTGGATGTAGCAATTTGGTATAGAAAATTTCGAATTGACTCATTTTGAAACAATTACAATGTCTGAGATGAAGACAACTAATTCAAATTGACTCATTCTAAATGAATTATTTTATAAAATGAGACAATTCATTTTCCGATTGATCATCAAAACGAGAACGAGGCCACCGGTTCTGACGAGTTTCTTGAAGGCAATAGAGTGGTTTCTCCAACATCAGGCACTCCAGAACCGCAGAAGGAGGAAGAAGATTTCTGCGAGACGGTCACGGCGGAGAAAGAGAAGATGATTTATCATGATCCTTTATACGATTACTTTGCTGATGAAATCTCGTGCATGAGTCTTCAAGCTTTGAGCTTTGATAGCTCACCTTGGACGACTAATCGTTATGAAGGCAAGAAGGCAGATGGCGGTGGCTTGAGTCCAGTGAAGGATGGAGGTTTTGGACAAGGGACTTCAAGTTTGGATGCTTCTAGAGCGACCAATTATGTTTGTGAACCTGACTGGATGTTTCAAGGAAACATTCATGTTGACTAGAGCTTCGACACTCATGACTTGGAGTTCATGTTTGATCGACTGTTTGAGCTCTTGATTCCGTGGAATTATGGAGATCGTTTGTTCTTTGTTGATGATGGTGCAGGGAATTTCATGTGGAAGCCAGGCGAGAAATCTTTGAGGGCAAAGCTTCTTCAACGAGGAGGGAATGATGTGATTCCCGCAACAGAAGGAAGAAAGGAATTACTTGAGGATTAAGTCATTTCTTTTGGGAGGACTCTTGCTTTATTTCCTTTCCCTTTTAGTATTTGGATTCCTTATTTGATATGAGAGTATTTTTCGATTTAATTAAAGGTAGATACATTGTTTTGTAACCTTTATAAATATAGTAGGAATTGCCTATGGGTGGGGGAGACTTTGTTGAATAAGAATTTTACACCGAGGTGTTTTCCCCATGAAGCCGTCGTGCTTATGATTTATTGTTTTTAGCTATTGGTGTATTTCATAGCTAGGGCAAGACCCTTGTTTGAGTTTTTCCGTTGAAGATTCCAGAAAAGCTTAGCTAGACTCTTATCAATCGAGCAATCACACTTGATTGTTGCGAGTATTTATCCTCACATATCTCTTTAATTTTATGTTTACTTGAAGATCGATTCGAGCTATCCGAGCTTGAGTTATTGTTGCGCAATTTTGATAAAAGAACCTAGGCTTTTCACGAGCTCGTGATCTTATCAAGACTGCTCTCATCACACACTATGGCATATACAATCTAGAACAGTGGAATGATAGACTAGATCAACCCTAATTCATTGTGGCCTGCTACTCCTACTGTTGTGTGTCACTTCAAGTTTTTTTACCCTGCGGAAAGGCTGCTTAATTCTGGGGGGTGCTCTGTTTGTTCGAGGTCGTACTTAATTTGCACCCTAGGTCTTCTCTCGTGGTTAGATTCTAGCCTCCTTGATTGAGGGTTTTCGTGGCAAATTAGCCGAGCTAATCGCGAGCGGCTCGGAGCTCAGCTCGAGAAAAACTATTTTAATACTTGGCTCACTTTTAATGAGCTGGCTCGTAAGCCGACTTGTTTATTAATGAGCCGAGCATGAGCCAAAGCCTCTTCAACTCGGTCAGACTCGCGAGCTGACTTGGCTCGTTGGCCTATTGAGCCAGGCGCGTGAGCTGCCTCGATAGTGTAGCTAGCAAGTTAAGACTTAACTCATAACAATATCAATGTTTGGCTAAAACTCTTAGAGTTAACTAACTAATGACTACTGTGGGATAACTTACTAATGACTATTGAGTTGGTTAATGTACATATCTTTCATTATAAGGTAATTTGAGAGTTTTTGCTTACATGAGTAAATACATAAATCACATAATTTCTAAAGAAGATACTATCAATGATACTAACTAACTAATTAAATATTTGCAATATACAACAACATAATACTGTCTTGAAAATTGAAATCGTGCATACTAAACGCACACTTTTTTTTGCTTTAATGGAGGCCAAGGCCAAGAAGGAGAAACTACGGGAGAGAGGGAGGAGAGAGGTTACAGACTAGAAGACGCCATGATGTGGCGCTCGAAAGCAATCCCCACTACATCATCTTGCAGAATCTGACAAATCTCTCTTGGCGGGTTAGGGAGTTCATACATCCTCGTAGGGGTAGACGAGATTGTGCTTCGAGAGCCAGTCCGCAACTCTATTCTCTTCTCAGTATGTATGGACTATCCTAACAAGCCAGTCTTGGGAGATCTTCCTCCGAATTGAGTCAAGTAGACAAGCATAGGGTTGCACGGGATCCCGACGATTGTTAATCAATTGGATGGCCAAATGAGAGTCACACTACACCACCAGGTTCCTACATATGTGCTTCCAAGCCAGGATAAGTCCATGTTGAAATGCCCATAAATCAGCAAGGGTCGCCGAGGCCTCACCAATCTTGGCCACAAAACCTGCCACCAATCTGCCTTGATCATCCCGGATCAGATTGCCAGCACCAGCCGCTCTCGGGTTTCCTGCCGAAGCACCATCTATGTTCAGCTTAACCATCCACTATGAGGTGCATGCCACCTGATATGCTCAATGTTTCTTCTAACCGCAGGATCTGATCTGCCTTAAGACAAAGATGGTGCTTGACGCGCTTTATGCCACAGGAAAGCCTTGTGCAGAATTGAATGTGCCAAGGTGGGGGTCGTGAAGGCTTTCTCGTCTCCGTTGAAACAACTCGTACATCTGTTCTTCCAAATCAGCCAAGTAACCACACAATAGAAAGCACTCCAAGTCAATCCGGACTCCATGATCTTCTTGTTCGTAAGATTAGTGCGGATCCAGCTACCTTGATCGCACATGAAAAATACCTGCTGCCGAGCCTGCAAAACTGACCTAGACCAGAAGTACCGCGCTAGAGTGAAGTCTCTCAGTATATGGACAATGGTCTCAGGGCAGTCGGAGCAGCGGTAGCATGCCGGAGAATTTGATGCATTTCCCGTAAAAGCGATGGGAATTGGTAGCAATTCGATCAAGGGAAATAAGCCACGAAAACACCTAACCCGTTCAAGAATCAGAAGCCTCCAAATGTCTTTAGTGTGATCCGGTTGAAGCAATTGGTAAGCTGACTTAGTCGAGAACCTTCCGTCGGCCGAAGCAATCCAGAAGATACTGTCCTCCTCTAAGGACATCAGATCCGCCATCACAGTTGTGATCTTCTGCTGAATTTCTATCGGGAGTTAGGGGGAGGTGTCCCAATTTCGTTCAGGATCTAGATAATCAGCTACCACCTTTATCCGCTCATTCTCATGAATTAGCTGCACCGCGGACTCTATAAGTGGTTCCTGCAAAATCCAATTATCAAGCCAAAATTTAGTGCTCTTACCATTGTGAATGTTCCAAGCACATCCCTTCTTAAGAAGGTTAGAGGCTTTATTAAAACTTCTCCAAACAAAAGAACTTCCCTGACTAGCACGAAGAAGGTCAAGACCTTCTCTCCGCTTTATGTACTTTGCCCACATAATCTGTGTCCAGAGAGTATCCTTTTCCTATAGGACGCACCCTCCTTTAGCCAGTAGAGCTAGGTTCGCCCGTCGGAGAGATCGGAGGCCACCTCTCCCTTGAGTCTTAGGTTGAGTTAGCTTTTCTCACTAATTACATAACCTATAGGCGTGAATAACCAATTAATGAGTTACTTACTAATTAATTGGTTTCTAGACTAAGGTTATGTTATATCTTCAACATTTATGAATTTAGGGTTAGAAGTTATCATATGCACTTTCAACATTTATGAATTTAGTTGTTTAGGGTTAGTGGTTAGCATTTAGATGTTAAGGACCACGAAGTTGTCCCGTCCCAATCGACCTCCTGGAGTGTAAGTTCTGGATGACGCAAAAGTCACGTAAAAAGGTTAAAGCGACATCGAAATCCTGAGTGAGCCTGCTAACTGACAGAAGGTTGCACTTAAACAATGGAAGACTGAGCACCCGACTGAGCTTCATTCCATTTGACAAACTGATATCCCCAACTCATTTGACTACGACACTATCTCCATTCGGAATACTGACTGGTAAATAACCCGATACCTCAGTAGAATTTTCTAACAAGGACTCATCATTCGTAATATACTCATTGCATCGCGAATCAATGATCTATTCAGACTGTGCTAGAAATTGCCCGCCATGTTGACTTGAGGATTGAACGACGAAGACAGATTGGGTTGACCACCATTGTGATTGAGGAACTCGAGCAACTGTTGTACCTGTTCGGAATTCAGTCCAGGAATACTAACTCCAGCTCCACTCGAGGACTGCGCAGCACAGGAGGTATGTGGTCTCCCGGTTCGCTCCCTTTCCTGGTCACTTTGACGCGGATCACGATCACGTTCACCAGAACAAGGCTTCTTCTCCGCCCAGCCAATAATCTCATAAAAATTATCTTTGGTGTGGCCGGGTCTCTGACAATGACTGCACCGCTGTCGCTCCTTGAGAACAGTGTTACGAGACCGCTCCTTTTGCCTTCCAGGATCTGAAGTCATGCGATCTTGGCGAGCTTGAAACGCGACAGCATCTACGGTTGGGCGCCGATTTCCAGCAATTTGTCATTGCTTCTCTTCGGTGGAGACAAGCCTGTAAGCTTCTCCAACGGTTGGAGTTGGCTTCATGGACAAGATCTGTGTCTTTATAGTTCCGAAAGCATCCCGCAATCCCATAAGGAAATCGAACAGTCTACCGTTTTCCATGTTGCTCATTACCTTTTTGTCAATTTCACAAGTACATTTCCAACATGTGCACCGTAGGATATGTGATTGTCTGCATCTCCTCCCAAATCGCACGCAATTTGGTGAAGAAGGTAGATACAATGAGCTTCTCTTGTTGCAGAGAGCTCATCATCGTACGAAGTTCATATGCCTTAGGAGCCGATCCTCGTCCAAAACGCGCCTCAAGATCAGTCCATATCTCTCGAGCTGTCTTGGCATAGCAGATGGAGCTCCGTACCTCCTTGTCCATGGTTGTCTTCAACCATCCTTTAACAAGGGCATCGCATTGAAGCCACACCTCCTGTAACTCGTCCGCAGCTGCCGGCTTGACTACACTTTCATCGACAATTCCGAGTTTGTTTTTCGCAATCAGGGCCTTCGTCATATCCGTGACCCACTCTCCATAATTGCAGTCGTTCAATAAATCACCAACGAACAACTGACCTGGGTTATCTGACGCTTGAATCCTCAACGCGGCGGGGACCACAGGAGGGACGATTCCTCCACTGCCGCCGGTTGTATCGCCATCTGTACCTTTACCGCTCATGGTGATAACTTAGGACTTAGAAAGCCTACTCTGATACCATGAAATATTTGTAAACACGAGTACGCAAAACATACAACAAAAGATTTATGTGGTTCGTCTCATTCGGTGTGAATGAGCTTACTCCACAGAAAAGTTATGTTATCTCAGCTGTCATTCATAGTAGGCAGCCGATACACTTACAACAAATATATATGTAACCCTAATCAACAAGTAAAACCCTAGGGTTACAATAATTAGTCGGCGGCCGAAGGGGAAAAGACTCAAAACCCCTCAAGCCTACACGACTGCGTACTACACAACTCATTACATTATATCTTGTTTCATGCAAATTATTATATTGAATACTAGAGCTTAAGAAGAAGGAAAAAAAATACTTGCTTTGGAATGTTAAATTGTTATTATACTTGTATTTGTATTATTTAGAATGTGTCATTTTTTCCTTAATTTTTTGTATAATTACTTGTGGAGGTCGTTTGGATCAATGATTTTAATATGAGAGATTTATGAGAGATTTTGATCCAAATCACTCACTTAAAAACCCAGGAATTTTAAATGAGTTATTTCAACCAATTCATTTGTTTGTTTAAACATGAGAAATTTGTACCCAAATTGTGCAAAGTCTAATTTGACCGCATCCCCTTCCTCTCCCTCCTTCGATGCAAAGTAAAAAACCAACTGACAGATCGGCCAAATACGACGACTTAGCTAAACAGCGACCTTGCAACCCAGAACTCTGATTCTTCTACCTCGTCTGCAGAACTCTGACGTTGATTCCCTTATCCCATTTGAAACCCAGAAACAAACGAATACACCTTAAATTCCCAAGCCAGTTTTGAGGAGAGATTGAAACCCGCTTGCCACCATCCTTCGCTTATGCAGTTCGTTGCGACAACAACAACGACATCATGGAAACAGCGAGAACATGCCGCAATCGCAAACCCAGACTCCACCACCGCCAAATCGATCTCTAGTTGCGATTTCCAGATCTGGTCAAAATCGAACCCGTCCTTCACGGAGCCAGAGCATCGGCGCAAGTAGTCAAACAATGGCAGAACTTAGAGCCCGCCAGCACTTCTGACGATGTGAGAATTCGATGCCCAGCGGTCCTTCCTCCAATTTCACTCGTAATCTCCGCGGCGATACTTGCCGATGAGCATGAATCGTCGAAACCCAAAAATCAGAACCCTAAATCCGACTCCAGTTCTTCGACCTCAGCCACCGTTGTCGTCGCCGTTGATACTTTGTTCTGGGCTTGTGGCTGACCGAGGGTTTTGGATTTGTTAACTTTTGGGGCTGGGATGGGACGTGGAAATTGTCGGAGGAGAGGTAAGCAATTAACACGATGGTTATTGTGGAAGAGATGGGAGGACAAATTTGGGATAAGCAAAAATAAAACGAGTGATTTCAAAATAGCTGCTCGTGATCAGCTATTTTCAAATCGGCATGAGCAGGTTTTCAAAATCCAGAATGGTTAAAATCACTAAATTTTTTTTATCACTTTCCAAACGAGTTAATTCGTCTAAATCCGGGATGATGAGGGAAGTGCTAAAATCCCTGATAAAAAACCCTTATCCAAACGACCCTGTGATATTTAGAGTGCATTTTTTTTTTGAATTATTTGCACTCCTCATACTTGAATTGTTTCCGTAAGGGTTATAGGTATAATATGCCCCTCTACTATGACATTTTATCAAAGAAGTCCCTCTACTATTTTTTACATCAAACATGTCCCTGTACTTTAGAAAACTTATCAAACATGCCTTTTGTTAAAATTTCCATCCAAAAACTGTTAACCAAGACCGAACTTTGGTTTGGGCGACCCAAATATCTAAAATATCCTTAATAATTTCACTTTAAAGTTTTTTTTTGTTCTTTTGTATAGCCAATTAATTCTAATAATTTCACTTTGATGAGACCTAGAGAAATAAAACAAGGGTCAAAACTGACATTTCCCCTCCCATTTATCGATGTCAGGTCGTCTAAATCTCGGTTCAACCATGATTGCCGATTTTTTCGATGGAAATTTCAACTGAAGGGCATGTTTGATAGTTTTTCCAAATTACAGGGGCATGTTTGATGTAAAAAATAGTAAAGGGGCATGTTTGATAAAACGTCATAGTAGAGGGGCATATTATAGCTATAACCCTTTCTGTAATATAACATAAACTATTACTCAAATTAAATAATCGTTATATTTCAGTTTTAGTTGAGATGGTTGAGATACATAAGCAATATATAGGATTAATCTTTGAAATCCAATGACGTTATATTTCAGTTTTTAGCTAAAATGGTTGAGATACAGATGCAATATATATAGGGGTTAATTGCATGGTTGGTCACTGAGATTATAAAAAAGTTCATGTTTGGTCACTGAAAATATTTAAATCTAATCTTGATCACTCAAATTAGTTAAATGGTTCAAGTTTGGTCACTCTCCGTTACCTTCCGTCAGTTTCCGTTAACACCGTCAGTTATTTGCTGACGTGTCTAACATAAGTGCTAATTCACCCAATTTTAATTATAAAAAAATAAAACCTGACTGTATCGCCGGCGGACTGGATAATCAATTTTTACCCCATCTCTCACCACAACATTTCTTGACGCAATCAACTGTTGAAGATTAGTACAAAGAAGGAAGAAGAAGATGAAGAAGAAGAGCTTGTTTTCCCAGCCGCCCAATTTTCCCCCAAATCCCTAATTTCCAATTCCTTCCCCCAATTTACTTCTTCCTCCTCTCTACTCCCTACTCAGTCCTCACTCGCACGACAAGAAAACAGAAAACCCCCAAATCCCAATTTAAATTCCCTTCCTTCCTTCTTCATTCGCTCCTTCTCAGTTTCTGATTATGGTTTCAGAATTCTTTTTCCACTGAATCTCTCGACCAATAGAACCATGTCGATTAACCCAGAAACCCCAGAGTCGATGACCTTGGAAATCGCCGCTGCCCAAGTCAAGCGCTCAGCTCCTCCTCACCCGCCCTGGCGAGTCTCCGGCCCAGATCCCGATGAAGAAGCCGCCCAGATCCTCCCCCACCGGACCTTCCTCAGGTTCTGCGGCTGCTCCGCCGCCTTCGTCCTCATGGCCGACATGCGCTTCCTAATCCTTCTCTTCACCGCCTTCCGAATCAAGGACCCACACATCATCGTCGCCGGACTCACCACCACCGGGCCTCATGTAAATATTTGAGGTGACTCACCACCACGAGGGCAGAGGAAGTCTAGGAATTAGGGTGGAGTGGAAGGTTGGGTACTTGGGTAACGGGTTGGAGTGGGTAACTGCGGGTTTTGCTGACTATACGGGTCGGGTTTTATTTTTTTATAATTTAATTGGGTGAATCAGTACTTCTGTTAGCCACGTCAGCAAATAACTGAGGGTGTTAACGGAAATTAACGGAAGGTAACGGAGAGTGACCAAATTTGAACCATTTAACTAATTTGAGTGACTAAGATTAGATTTAAATATTTTCAGTGACCAAACATGAACGTTTTTTATAATCTCAGTGACCAACCATGCAATTAACCCATATATATTGAAAGAAAGAAACCCGCCGCATGCCCCTGTACTGTACACACAGACACCTTTTACTGTACAACGTGACTGAGATTTACTGTTTCAAACTGGCGTGTCCTTCGGTGTGGGCTGTTGTTGGGTGAGGCCTCATTGGGATCTGGCGGGGTGTGGGGGCTCGGTCGGGGTGGGACTGGTCGTTGGCTTCTGGTTGGCCTTAGTTGCGGTCGTTTGGTGGCCCCGGCGTGCGTTGGTCATCAGAGATCGATATTTTACTTTGGCCCGAGTGGGCACGCGGACCGAGGGTTTCGGTTGCTCTGTGGGTGTTCTGCTGGGTAGGGATCTTTGAGTGGTGGGCGATCTGGCGGGTTTGGGAGAGACTGTGCTTGGAGATGGGATAGCTCAGAGATGGTGGGCCATGAGAGGGACTGAAAAGTTGATTGAAAGGAGTTGTGTTGCTCAGTATCTCTGCATTGGGGTCGTTTGGTGGCTCTGACGCGCGTTGGTCATCAGAGATCTATATGCTGCTTTGGCACAGGCGGGTGTGTGGATCGAGGCTTATTCAGTTGCTTTGGGTGTTCTGCTGGGGAGGGATCATTGAGCGTTGGGAGATCTGGCGGGTTTGTGGATCTGTGGATGAGAGTGACATACCTGGACAGTAGAGAGGTGGGTCGTTCGAGAAACAGAAAAGGGTTTTCTAGATACAGAGAGATACCTTGACATACTTTTTCTCTACTATATGAAAAGACCGGTTTTGGGTGCCTCTGGGAGGGCCTGGAAAGTCCTTGCGTTGTTCGACGCTGAGAGAGGCTATTACTGTTTTGTGCAGGCTAAGCCATTAATTAATTGAGAGGATCTGTTTCTTTTCTTTTTCTTCAGCTTGGTGCTTAAAGAAACTTTGCTTCTCTTTAGCATGTTACTCTCTCCCCTTTTGTTATTCACCTCTCCGGCTGCTCTCTCTCCCTCTCGCGCCCTCGGTGTCCTATTTGCGTTGGGAATTCTCGCCTCTCTTCTTGGGAGAAGGGCGGAGTTGAAGGTCACGAAGAAGAAGGTTTGAGAGATCTGGAGGAGATCCAGACACACTGGAGGACAGTTGAGAGGTCTGGAAAAGATCCAGTTTCGCAGGTTTTGTATTCGTCCTAGCTGATTTATCCGTCTCTCTATGTTGAGTTTGCTTTTCTCTTTTTGCGAGTCTCTTAATCGTTTGGATCCTGTTTTCCGTTTGTAATTGCAGGTAGTTGGAAGGCTGTTTTGTGTTCAGTTTGCTAATCATAGTATTTGCCAGTAACCTTTGTTGATCATCATAAAAGTTAAGATGCTCATTAATCAAGGGATTTGATCCATCGTTAGGAATCTCCGATTTATCAATATATCATCACATCTTTCTTTTCATCTTTTTGTTTGAGTGATTGTTGGTGATTTTCGGAATCTTAAATCAAGGATTGTTTTATGGGTTGTGTGGATCTGATAGGTTTTTTGTAATTTCGATGAGGATGAAGGGGTTGATTCGATGAGGATTGAGGAGCCCGGCATCTGCTGTTTCCCTGCACCAGTGAGGATGAAGAATGCGTCGTTTGTTTGCGCCTACTTCTGACCAGTATAGAATACTGACTGTACAGATCCGCAAGTTTTCATGAACTCTTATGCTGAATGTCGCGTCAACTCCCTGTCTTTCCCTCTACTTTTTTTTCTTCTTTTGCATTCTAGGTTTGTTGTGATCATTGTTGTTACGTTACCACCTTTGTGGGTTTTACCGGGTTTTTTTTAGTTTGGGCCGGATTTCCTGCGTGGGGCTTTGCGAAGTTGAGCACATTGCCCGCAGAGGTCCGATCCTTTACTCCTCTTTTTCTGGCTGTATTTTCTCGCATACCTTCTTCTCTCTCTGGGTTTCTGATACGAGACAGGGATTTGACTTGACCCTCCTTGAGAAAGAAGTTGAAGGTCAGTTCTTGGTGGTGGTCTCGAGACGAGAGAGGACTCAGAGGAGAAACGGATTTAACTCGACTCTCCTTGAGAAAGAAATGGAAGGTCAGTTGTTGGTAGTTGTCTCGAGACGAGAGAGGACTCAAAAAAGAGAAGTGGCTCCAGTTCCTATAGTGATTTTCTCAATGTTTTACTTTTAAATTCTTTGAGTGGAAATGGTTCTTCCTAATTTTTTGGGTGCGTTTGGAGCCCGCGAGTGATTACGTACTTTAGTAGGATTAGAATCCACTATTACTATTTGTTGGCATTCTTTTCTGTAATGTATTTGAATAGTGACCCATGAATTATTACATGGTGGCAGAACAGGTGTTGCCTTTGCAATTGCTACTATTTTTCCAGGTGGGGTGCTTTGAACGTTGTGGGAAATGGTTACATTTGGTGGGCAGAGGAACGGAAAAAATCCCAAAGTACACACGTTCTTAAAAAAAATTCCCAAAATACATGAGTTATAAAAAAATTTCCCAAAGTACACATGTTTGAGCATCACCGTTTTAGACAAACGCGGTGAAGATCATCACCGCGTTTGACAAACACGGTGAATACTTCATCGTTTTAAACAAAAACGGTGAAGTATTCACCGTTTCAAACCAAAACGGTGAAGTTTTCACCGCGTTAATTAACAACGGTGAAGCCTTCACCGTTGTTAACTAACGCGGTGATCATTTCCCACCCCTGGTAGGTCAAAATTAGGTCGCAGCTACCACCTATTCACCGTCTGAGACAAACGCGGTGATAGTGTTCACCGTTTTTGACAAAAACGGTGAATAGTAGGCAGATTTTCCTATAAATAGCACACCACCAGCAGTTGTAAAAACATAACCACTCCCCTTTCTTCAAATTTCAGCAGCCAAAATCGAGCATAATACACAGAACAGAAATTTTTCGGTATGTTGAGACTTTTCGTATTATGGTCTAATTATGTTTTTAGTAGTTATAATATGATTTAATTTTCGTATTATGTTGTTGTTAGTTAGTTGAACTTATGTTCATTAGTTATAGTATGATTTAATTTTCGTATTATGTTGTTGTTAGTTAGTTGAACTTATGTTCGTTAGTTATAGTATGATTTAATTTTCGTATTATGTTGTTGTTAGTTAGTTGAATTTATTTTGGTTAGTTATGGTATGATTTAATATTAGTTGTACAATATGATTTTGGTTAATTTTACTGTCTTTAAGCTAATAGATACTTATTGTAAATTGTAGATATGGGTAAATTCAAGAAGTTTCATCTTACTATTCGGTGGAATGGAAGGGTGACAAACTCTGACATAGGCATTGATTATGAGGACGGCGAATCCATTATGCTGAAAATTGAATCCCGATTCAATTTTCAAGAACTCTATGATCTTTGTGCAGAAAGGGTTTGTACGAGCGGACAGACGAGACTTGGCAAAATTACTTACCGGTATCCAGACATGAGTGCTGGCGGGGTCGTGTTCCAAGAAGTTGTCATAAACGATGATGACGCGGTTATGATGATGTTACAGTTCCTAAGCGATAACCAAGTCCGGCTTGCAGAGGTGTATGTTGAGACCGAGGCGCTCGGTGAATCTCATTCTCACCAGTATTCTTATGATGATGGTTTTGCAGGAGGGTACGAATGGGGTGGTAGTTCGAGCAACTACCAAGGCGGTGGTTATACAGGAGGTTACGGGGAGGGTGGTGGTTCAATCAACTACGGTGGATCGAGTAGTGCAGGATGGGACCAATACTCGCAACCTCCTAAACCAGCCCCATTTGTTGAGGCCGATGGTGTTCAATGGCCTGCTTGGGGGCCAGAGTGGTATGGAATCGAGAATACCATTCGATCAGGGCGTACTTCACATGAGCGAGAGGACGATGTTGGTGATCGTGGTCATGTTGATCCTTCTAGCTCGAGCTATCCATTCGAGTCAAGCGACGAGGATACTGAGGAAGATTTGATATCAGTGAGCGAGGAGGAGGAAGATACTGATGATAACGAGGATGAGGCGGCATTTCGTGAGGCACCCACGCCATATTACACACAGGTTCCAACTCAATTTTTACATAGTCAGAATGATCCCCCCGACTTTGTCCCTATGCCAGTGTACAATCCGACGGCCAATCTGGAGGTGGGTATGGCGTTCACATCGAAAGACGCTGTGCAGGATGCATTTACAGAAGAGGCGTTGAGGCGCAATTTCGAGTGGAAGGTAAAATATTCTGACAGTAAACAATTACATGTCATATGCAAGCATGATGCAGAGGGTTGTACGTGGCAACTGCGGGCTGCAAATATGAAGAGAAAGGGTGCTTGGGTGATTCGCAAAGCTGAGACGATCCACACATGCTCCTCTTCTATACTTTCCCAAGATCACAGGCAACTAAAAGCAAAGAAGGTTGGGAGAACTATTAAGCACCTTATAGAAGCACAACCAGATATCAAGGTGAAAGCTATCATGGCAGAGGTGAAGGATCGACATTCTTACACGATAAGGTACAAAAAAGCATGGCATGGTAAGCAGAAAGCCATGGCTGAGGTGTATGGTGATTGGGAGGATTCGTATGCTTTACTCCCTAGACTTATGGGAGCAATGGAGGAGTCCAATCCTGGGACTGTTTTCGTCCCAGTATACAACAATGTATACACTGAGGATCAAGTTCGAGTACAGGATAAGCTGATGTTCCATCGTCTTTTTTGGGCTTTTAAACCATGCATTGACGGTTTTGGGTTCTGCATACCGGTTATTCAGGTATTTTACCAACTAGTTCCGGTTTTAAATGTTGTATTATTTGCTGTTAAGTATATTTCATACTAATTATATCCTAAATTTTTATTCAGGTTGACGGAACTTTCCTTACTGGGAAGTACAGAGGATGTCTTCTAATTGCCACTGGCGTTGATGGAAACAGGCGGATTTTCCCGCTT